AATCTGGAGTACTAAGGCGAGAACCACATTTTGAAACCACTCCCGCCCTCCATCCGCGGATCTCCTGCAAATGCTTAAAAAACGAATGTGCGCGGCGCTACGGCGAGAGCCACATTTGGAACCCCCCCGCCCTCAGTGCGTGAAACTCTTGCGATGTTTGAGACCAATGTGCGTGGCGGTAAGGCGAGAACCACATTTTGAGATCCACCCGCCCTCCATGTGTGAAACGGGTACCAACCTGTGAGCTTCAAGATTACAAACGGTGAGGACATCTGAGGCGAAATGCTCTTTCCACTGGCCTCGGGGTGCGCCAGGGAGGAGATGTCTACAAGGACGAGGCATGGAGGTGGGAGGAGCGAGGGGGTGAGGCGGGGGAGGAGGAGGAGGAGGAGGAGGAGGAGGAGGAGGAGGAGGAGGCGGAGGCGGAGGCGGAGGAGGAGGGGAGGAGGAGGAGGAGGGACTTGCTGGCGAACGCTGCGCTCCGATGGGCACCAAGCGGATGAGGAGGAGGAGGAGGAGGAGGAGGAGGAGGAGGAGGAGGAGGAGGAGTCAGGATCTGTCTTCAGGCCATGACTGGGGCCTCCAGCGGCCATTCGGATCGATGTCGACACCCCCAGGACGTATTTGTTCATCCATGATCCGATTCTGATGGTTCCAGGTACCGAGGAGGGCTCCTGAAATCGAAAGACACTTCGGAAGATGGGAGGAGGAGCGGAAGGACAAGGAGGATGAGGAGGAGGAGGAGGAGGGAGAGGGGAGGAAGGGGAAGAGAAAGGGAAAGAGGAGGATGAGGAGGTGGGGGGAGAGGAGGAGGAGGAGGAGGATGAGAGGGTGGGGGAGAGGAGGAGGAAGAGAGGAGGAGGAGGAGAGGAGGAGGAGGAGAAGAAAGAAAAATGGGAAGCAGGATGTGGAGCAGGGGGACGTGCAGAAGGAGGAGGGAGACGAGGAGGAGGAGGAGGAGGAGAGGAGGAGGGAGGAGGAGGAGGAGGAGGAGGAGGAGGAGGGAGGAGGAGGAGGAGGGGGAAGAGGAGGAGGAGGAGGTGGAGGAAGGGGAAGAGGAGTAGGAAGAGGAGGAGGAGGAGGAAGAGGAGGAGGAAGAGGAGAAGGTGGAGGAGGAGGAGGACGAGGAGGAGAAAGAGGAGGAGGAGGAGGAGGAGGAGGAGGAGGAGGGAGGAGGAGGAGGAGGGGGGGCGTAGGGGCCTCCGCCGCCCGCGGAGGTGGAGGGGGCGGGGGGGGAGGCGTAGGGGCCTGGGGCGCCTCCGCCGCCCGCGGCGGCGCCTCCGGCGCCGCGGCAGCCTCGGCCACCGCGGGCTCCGCGGGCTCCGCGGGCGGCCCACCGGCTGCGGCCTCGGCGGCCGCGGGTGCGGCGGCGCATGGCCGGTCGACGCTGGGGCCCTCCTCGAACTCCGCCGCCTCGAGGGGGGGATTTTCGAGTCGAAGTTCCCCTCCTCCTCCTCCGCCTCCTCCTCCGCCTCCTCCACCTCCTCCTCCTCCTCCTCCTAGCCCCTCCTGCCCCGACGGTGGGGGACATCCCCGTGCGCACGCGGAGGGGGCGCAGCGCGGGGGGACCGCCATGGCTGCGGCATGAGGCTCCGGGAGGAGAGGGCGACCAGGCCGGGAAGCGGTGCTCTTCGGCGAGGTCGTCCAGGGCCTGGCTTGCGGTGAAGGGCGCGTTGATGGACACGTCACACAGCGCTGTGCGGGGTCGCTGTTCGGGTGGCGCATGCTGTCCGGGCGTGGCAGCGCCAAGGTCATCGCTGGCAAGCTGCACAAGTCGGAGGCCATCGGCGTCATTGGCGTCAAGCACTGGCGGAGCGTCGACGTGGACTCGGTCAGCTCAGAGGCGGTCGGCAACGGATACGCTGAGGTCGGCGTGTTTCGGTCAACTGCGGCAAGGGCTGGTCGGATTGCGTGTACGACGCCCACCCCGTCGGGCTCAAGCAGTTGGCTGAGAAGGTCATCGAGGTCTGCTGGGACGGGATGTTCTGAGTTTTTGGGTTTTGGGGAGGGCGGTCCTTTTCTGGGGCCGCCTCTGGGATCAGCCTCCCCTGCGCGCGGAGGGGGGGCGGCATCCCAGGGGGCGTCTTGGGCGCTGTCTGCTGGTTGCAGGCGCCAAGGGAGGACCGCCCTCCCTTCGCAGGACGCGAGGGAGCTTGCTCCAAATTCCTCATCGTCCTCATTGACCTCCTCCTCCTCCTCCTCCTCCTCCTCCTCCTCCCTCCCTCCCTCCCTCCTTCCTTCCCTCCCCCCTCCTCCGCCCTCCTCCTCCTCCTCCTCCTCCTCCCCCTTTCTCCTCCTCCTCATCCACCTCCTCCTCCTTATTCTCCGCATATTGCCCTTCTCGCCCCGTACGGAATCGAAGTCGAATCGAATCGTATCGGAGGAATCGGAACAAACCCTGCTGGGGGGAGCGATGCCTGGGCCCTTTTTCGGTGGCGCAGTGGGGAGCATCGCTTGGGGGGGCGGCATCTGAACCCCACCCCCCCGCCAACCATCGATTCTCCGGAATCGAGGGGAGGCGGGGTTGGGGTTCGGATGTCGCCACGTGCTCGACGACTTCTGGACCCTACCCCCGCCGCCGATGAAGGTTCCTGAATCGTAGATCGACGAATGTGAGTTTCGCGTTTCGCCGCCGAGTTGAACCGACCCCTATACCCATGAACGTGGTCTTGGACCCACTGGCCGCTTTCAACTCCTCGACGGGGGTATTCCCAACTGGTGTGCTGAGATGGTGGGGGTCTGGATGGGGATACGGATCGGTTGAACGATACGATACTGAAGGAAAGAACGAGCCGTCCCAGAAAACGGCGGACCTTCTCAGAACTCCTCCAACCCTCCGAGAATTTGTGTTCCGTGTTTCTAGGGAGGGCTTACGCAAATTCTCAGGAAGCTGGAGGCCTTCCGAGCCTTTTGAGAAGGCCCGAACCCTCCCACTTCCCCCTAAGGATCGCCGCCTACTTTCCACCCCTGGCCGCGGAGCGCGCCAGGGGCGGCGCCAGAGGCGCCGCCAGGGGGGACAGCGCCGATCCCAAAAAATCAGCGACGAACTCCGAAAGTCAGTTTGATGGTTCTCGAGTTGCGAGGGCAACTCCTGGAGGCCTCGCGCGGCGCGCAATACCCATCGGTCGGGAGAAGTAGGAATAACCATTAAGTAGAAAACGATTGAACATATATTGGCTTCCGCCCGCCCCCTGATGACGGAAAAGGTGAAGCCACTCGATCATTGAAGTAGGAAGGCTCTTAAAGTAGATTGTAATCTGGGAATCCAGCAGTGCCCACGTTCAACGACCGATGGATAGTTATATCATCGGGTCCACACGGCCAGTGCTCCGCCTCCCCGAGGGGCTGCAGAGATGCCCAAACCCTCGTGAAGAGGACAAGCCCAGAGGCTTCGCGCGGCGACTTGAGGCCCAATGTACGTCGGGTCCACGTTGGGCTCACGTCGGGTTCGCGTCGAATGTACGTCAACCTCTTGCCTGAAAGATGTGCCGCGAGGGCGTCGTCCGATGTCTGAAGGGGCGGACGTGTGGATTTGATAATGCAGCTACCCTGCAACCCCCCTCGCGGGGGTAGGAGCCAATTATATCAAAGTTACGATGTGGAATGTTGTGATGCCTGTTGCTCTCCTTTTCGCGTCCTCCCCCCTCATCCCTCCTGCTTCTTTCGTCACGCATGCCTCCTCCTCTTGTGCTTATTAAACTTGTGTGGCCCTCCGCATCCTCCTTCTCTTTCCCGTAGTTTTCCGCATGCCCCTGCTAATCCAAAAGCCCAAATAAAACGTTGAAGTTTGAATTTTCATTTTTCCCTGCAACGGTTGCTGCAGCCGTTGCAGGATGTTCTCAGACTCCGCTTCCTCTGCCTCTTTGGCCGCCTGAGGCTCTGGTTCTGCCTCCTCTGCCTTCTCTGCCTCCTCTACCTCCTCTGCCTCATCTGCCTCCTCTGCCCCCTCTACCACCCCAAGCTCTGCCTCCCCAGGCTTTGGCTCCTCAGGGTTTGGCTCTGGCGTTGGTGGCCCTGGCGCTGGCTCATCTGGCGTTGGCGGCGCTGGCGCTGTCGCTGCCTCGTCTGCGTGTGGCGGGGGCCCCCTTCCCCCCCCCCTGGCTGTAGCTCTGGCGGGGGGGCTTCCTTTTGGGGTGGCAGAGAGGGAGCCGCCGTCCCTGGCTGCGGCGCTGCTGGCTCCGCTGGCTCAATCGGAGCGGCAGCTGGCGCTGGCTGCGCCTCTTGCTCAGGGGCAGCTGCCCCTGGCGGCTGGCCAGTCTGCCCGGCGCGGTTCGTGCAAGCAGCAGTGCACCTTCAACAAGCCCACAGGCACCTCGGCGCCGCCACTGCGGCGACAGATGTTTACCATCCCTGTCTTGCCGTACTGCGTCGTGCGCGGAAAGGATTGCGTCTCGGGTTGCTTCGCACACTCGCACTCGAAGTTCTCTCCCGTGAACGCGCCCACGCCGTGCCGTCGCACACCAAGGCTGCGGCGCGCGCGCCCGCATGTGCCATCCGGCGGGCGTTTGGCAGGCATCGCTCGCGCAGGCCCCCCTGCGCGCGCACCGCCGCCCCATGGAGCAGCCCTTTGATGCGAAAAGGGCGTCGCGGACGAACAAGCAGGAAGAGGCGCACTGCGGAGGGCAAGGGGGGTAAGACCATTGGCTGCAAAGGAGAAGGCGGAGGAGCAAGCGAGAAGCAAGGGGGGCGGGGGGCGGGGGCAGGGGCTGCGTTTTCCTCGCGGACCGTCAACGCATCACCTTGTGCATGAGTCTCGCTGGCACTGGCGCCTGCGCCGCCGCGATTCGCCCAGGAGGGCCAAAAGGCGAGCGCGGCCCCCGCCGCAGGACAATGGTTAGGTACCGAACGGAGCCGCCACTGCGGCTTTAGGCTGCAGGAAGTTTCTGCATCAACGCGGCCATGTGCGCTTCCAGGTAGAGCCTGCAGGCCACCTTCTGCTGCGGACGACTGGCCCCGTGCCGCGCGCAGGGAGGCTCGCCGCCGCTGTAAACTTGCAACCGCTACGCGCGGGTAAAAGTGGCCAGCTGGCACACGTCAACCTTCCCGTGCAAGTCCCCTGCGCGCGCGACCGTTCCCTCCCACGCGCCCTTGTATTCCTTGGTGGGGAATAACCATCGGCACGTGTACCCAGCGTGCACGGCGCCCTGGGCACTGACCGCCCGGTCCACAGGAACTGGTGGACTGGCGGCTTTTGTCCGCGTCTGTGAGCCCGCGCTCTCTCTAGAGGGCAGGCTATATTGCGAGCCCGCCCCGTTGGCGGCAGCCGCCACTGCGGCGTTGTCCTCGCCTGGGCTCTGAACCAGCGGGGCCCCCGCCAGATCGCACTCGGACCTGAGCCGCTCGAAGAGCCAGGGCGCGTCCGTCTCGCGGATCCATTACTCGTTCTTCTTGAACGAGATCAGGCACACCTCCCTCTCGTCCGTCATATCGGGGAACTCGAGCGGGCACTTCTCACGCGCGGAACAAACTACGATGCGCCCGAGCACCTTTTGTTTCTTTTTCGCTGCCGCCACGGGATCTGCCGCTGCGGGATCGGGCAGGTCGAGCAGGGCGCCCATGGCGTCCACGGCGTCCTCTCCCTTGTCGTCCTCGCCGGCCGCCACTGCGGCGTCCTCGGCTAGCGCCTGGGCCATGAACGCGTCCGCGATCTCCTTCCACGCGCGCCCCTGCACAGAAGCCCCGTTTGAATTCCTGGGCGCGTAGCCGAGCGCATGGACTACCCACGGCAGGCCCAAATAAAAGTGGACGAACTTCACGCGCCCTGTGACGGTAGAGATCTCCTTGGTCTCCAAGAGCGCGCGCGGGCGCGCGGCTCTGTCAACCGACCGCCCCAGACAGAGAATCGTTCGCCCTGCTGCGCGGGTTCCCACTGGGGGGAAGCACGCGCGCTCTTCGACTCCCCCATGGTCGCCACTGCGTCGCCCGCCGCGCAAGCGGAGCCGAAGGGGGCGAGCGTCTGCGCTGGAGCCGATGCGCTGCGGCGGCACCGCGCAGCATTGCTCTCCAGCTCCCCATCCTGCCACACGGCGCTGCCCGCCCCCCCCCCCCGACCATGTCCCCGCGCTGCTCGTCCGACATCCCCCCTCCTCCTCTTCCAACCCGCCCTCCTCTTCCTCCTCCTTCTTCTCCTCCTCCCTCCTCTTTCCTCTCTCCTCTTTCCTCTCTCCTCCCTACTCCCTCCTCCTCCTCCTCTCCCCTCTCCTCCGCCCCCTCCCTCCAGCGCCCTCGAAGCCTCTGGCGGCTCCTTTCGGCGCCAGCCCCCCTCGGGAGACCCCCCCGGCCCCGGGTCCTGCGCCGGCTGATGCAGCCGCTGCAGAACCGCAGCGCGGTTCTGCAACGGCCGCAGCAGCAGTTGCAGGCCCCCAGGGCCCCCCCCCCAGATCCCGCGCCGGCTGCAGCAGCCGCTGCAGGATCTGGGGCCGGGGGGGCTCTCCCGAGGGGGGCCGGCGCCAGAAGGGGCCGCCGGAGGCTTCGAGGGCGCAGGAGGGAGGAGGCGGAGGAGAGGGGGAAGAGAGGAGGAGGAGGGAGGATGGAGGAGGGAAGAGAGAGAGGAAAGAGGAGAGCGGGGGGCGCCCCCCCCACTTCAGCACGCCTGCGCCCCTCATTGTTCTCGCCGCCGTGCCTGCGCCCCCGTCCGCGTCGGAGCATGGGCGCCACTGCGTGGGCGCCACTGCGCCCATCGGAGCATGGACGCCACTGCGTCCTCCGCTTCAGATGTCATGGCGGCCATTCTCGTCGAAAACGGTTCTGCGCTGCTGCGGCTGGCTCTTCGCCTTCGTTCTGGCCTTCTTCGCGGCGGTCCTCCAGTCGGTCGGGGCCGCTTCCTTCTTCCTCTTCACATGCGTGTCTTCCATGATCAGTTCCTCGCCCGCCTGGACATCCACTGTGTTGGCAGCCATTGGGATTCGGGCGCAGATGACCCGACTGCAGATGACTACGTTCACTTCCTTCGGCGCGAGCTCCACGTTAAAACGCACTCGCCCCGCCTCTGCCTCAGTGACGTTTCGCGCCCCATGCTCTTCGGCCGCGAGCTTCGTCACGCTCCAGAAAGGGGTGCATGGACCCCTTGCCCGCCCACTTCCACTCTCGTTGAGCGGGGCCCGACTCCTCCACATCGTAGGGCGTCTTGCTTTGGGGCGCGGCAAACTCTGGATGCATGTAGAACGAAGTCATCACAGGCTCTTCTGGGCTCTTGGCCCAGACTTCCACGTGAACCTTGTCACTGTGGCTGCTCGCATCCAGAACTTTGTTCTGCTTCGGCACACATGGCCACCGCACGAGTTTGCCAGCCGCCGCTGCGGCTTCGGTGCACACTTTCACTTTGTTGGTCGTTGCGTGGCGGCTCAGGGCCACAGGTAGGTTCGATTCTGTGCCCTGTTCAACGCACGAACAGAGCGCCAAGTGCTTCTCCCGTAGCACGTGCAACACCGCTCCCATGTAGGCCTCCTTGCCCATGTCCCTGGCGGTTGCCTGGCCCGACCACTCCGTGACTGGCAGTGGCAACCACATCGCTGGCCTTTCTTAACGGTGGCCCGTTCGTTTTCGGGGCGCCCAGTGATCGCGTTGAAAGTGATCACCACGGGCTGCACGGCGGGCCCGCCTCCCTTTTCCTGAACCGACGTTGCGGTTGTCCTTTCTTCGGGCGGCAGCGTTGCAAAGTCGAACCAATTCCAGTCCTCCTGTGCCTGGAAGGTTGCCATGAGCGCGGCAGCTTTTTCCTGTCGGTGGGGCGTTCGCGCACGCCGCCTTGCACCCCTGCAAGAGCGCCTGGCGGGCCTTCCCCGTCGAAGGGTTGGCCCCCTTGACCACGATAGCCATAGCGCTGGCGCGCTGGATGTTGATGTCGGTCAGAAACTGAACCACCGCCGAGGCCTTGTTGTCCAGGTGCTTCGCCATGTCGGTTCTCAGGGCCACGTGGCGCGCGTGGAGAACATCCTCCATGAGCCGCAACTGCGACTCAGGGGTTCGCTGCTTCCACGCAGGTCCGGGCTCGATGCACCAGCCTGGCGCCCCCGTCTGTTTGGAAGCCTTCTTGGGCGGCAACCTGTAGGCCCGCATGATGATGGCCACCTTCACGCGGGGGAACTGCGCGCTCACCTCCCCAACGAGGCCGAACGCAGGCAGGCGCAACATTCTCGTAGCAGGAGTGACGTACGTCTCGACGAAATCGATGAGGTCCCGTATGTGAGGGCCTCCATCGGCGCCCAGGGTCAGGATGAAGTTGAAGAAGTCGCAGAAGGAGGGGTCGGAGGGGAAGCTCCCCAGTCGGGTACCTGCCGCCTGCATCACGCTCTCGTAGGTGATTGTGTCGCTGCCGTCCGCCTTTGCGTTGTGGATCTCTGAGGAGAGTACTTTCATCGCCTCCAGCTCCGACATCCGCATGGGAACGCCTGTGGCCGATTAGTGGCCGACGTGTCACGCCGACATGGGGGATTCAATTTGGCACCACACAAGATATGAAACTACAACTAGTTCAATACAGTCATCCTCTGGACGCCAAAATGGGGGACGTAAAACCACACTGGGGTGACACACGTCACACCGAAAACCGTGTGAGCGAAACCCCTTTTTTCCACTACTAGGTTTGCAAAACACATAGGGTGGAAATGCGTGTCACCCTAATGCCTCGCTCGCACTTTAGACGCAACCATGGGGCCATAACATGTGAAACCAAACGGGGCGAAATGTGTCACAGCGAAGACCGCGTACGAAACTACCACATGTTTACTATATTTCTTGACGCTGAGAAGCAAACGAAAATGCGCATACGAGAAACACGAAAGTGCGCAAACTAACAACAAATCACAACATGGTATAAAAAAAAACTTTACGATCTATTGAGAATGAGAAAGACAGACCGAGACAGAGAGACAGAAACAGAGAGACAGTGGTCCGATCTCAAAAAAAAACCTACCTTTTTCGCATTCCGAGGGTTGGGAGGTGCAGAACCCCAGGAGCGCTGCAACGGCTGCTGCAGCCGTTGCAGAACCGCCAGGGGGGTGCGCTTAAAATTTGAATTTCACATTTTTTTAGGGCTTTTGGATTATGCTCCTCATCCCTTGGATCTTCTCCTTGGCCTCCTCCTCCTCCTCCTCCTCCTCCTCCTCCTCCTCCTCCTCCTCCTCCTCTACCTCCACCCTTCCTCCCCCTTCCTCCTCCCTCCGCCTCGTAATCCTGCTCCTCCTCCTCTCCATCTCCTCTCCCTTCCTTCCTCAGCCGCAGTCGTTTTGGCATTTGCTCACGTACAGTCGTGGACGGAGCTGGGCACACGGCCACCGAGCGCTCTATGATAGGTCGCTCGCGAGCGCCCCGAGCACCCCGCTCCGCTCCCCGCGCACTGCTCCGCGGGGCGCCGATGGGGATGGAGGGCAGTCGGCGAGGGTAGGCGGGTTGGCGTAAGCGGCGTGGCCTGGGCCCCAGTGGCCGATTTACCCCCCTAGATGAGCATGTAGGTCGCTCCCTTTGTGGGTTTCGAGGAGCGTATCCACCACTGGGGTGGTAATTTGGTGGGGGTCTCGAAGGGGATGGGGATGGGGGCTGGGGATCGGGTTGAGGATGGGGGATGGGGATGGGGAGGGGATGGGGATGGGGATGGGGATGGGGATGGGGGATGGGGATGGGGAGGGGATGCGAGTTGGGCTGGTTGGGCTGCTTGGTGAAATGTTGCGGGCGGGCTGGTTGGGTTGGTTGGGCTGGCCGGCGTGCCGGGTATGGCACCTGGTCTCGACGGCGGCTGGGGTCCTCTGGACGTACCCTGCGTGGACCCCGGGGGCCTGAAAAGTGACGCCAGTTTCGAGGATTCGGGGATGTACAGACCTCCCTTTAGTAAAACGTGGTTTAGTGAAAACGACCTGAGGCCCAAACCTGGCGGGCGCAGGCCTGGAAAACAACGGCCACGGCGCCCTCTCGAGAACCGAACACGGACAATTCACTAATCGACGTGTCACTGTTGGGGGTTCTGTCCACCCCCGAAGGATCGAGAGCGTGGATGTTTAAAACAAGGCTAGGATCGGGATAAATCGCTCCAGAGCGTTCCGGAGCGCTCTCAGAGCGTTCCGGAACGCTCTGGAGCGGCCGCGCGGCGCCCAATACATCCTCCAAACTTGCCGATTCTCAGAGATTTCGAGTTATCCCGATCCGATTCTGTCCCGATCTTCGCGTCGTTTTACCCGTCGAGAGCGTGGATGTTGGGAAGTGCGGACAGCGGCAACGACATCGCCTTCGGGGCATCCGACCGCCCCCGGGGCGCCCGCGCAGGAGGCCGGGCCGCCACGCCATGCCTTTTCGATGGGGCCCCCCACCGGTTGCCAGCCTGGTCCCCAGAAGAAGTGAGGGCCGTGCCCGGGGCGCCCCGAGCGGCCACTGGCCCGAGGTACAGTCGGGGCGTGGACCCAAGGAACGATAAATAAGGAACGAAGCCCCATTTCTATCCCAAGGAATAACGCATAAGGAGCGATAAATAACAGATGACGCATAAGGAACTGTAAGTAATGCATGCAAGCCTAAAGAACGACCGAGCCCCTCTTGAAAAGTAGGTGTTCCTTACTCAAGCCGCTCATTGTATGGCTACAGACGAGCATCGCGGGAGAAGAAGCAACCAGCCTCGAGCTCATATCCCCATCCCTGAGATGGGCGAGCAGAAGGCGAGGGCAATCTCAGGGGTGTGCCCTCCGAAACGGAGGGAATCCTCAAGATCGGCACCGAGGTGAGGTGATGCCAAGCACAGGGATAGGGATATGTCTCGAGCTGGTGAAGACGGTGCCGATGCCGTTGCTCCCGTCGGCGGCGAGCCCCTGGAGGAAATGAGACTGGGGCGGGCCTCCTCAGAAGGCTCGGGAGTCCCCGGGCCTTCCGGAAAGCATTCTAAGCCTTTCCCGAAGGCGCAGGAAACTTCCCCCAAGGCCGGAGGGCTTCTGAGGAGCCCCGCCGCCTTCTGAGAGGACCCTCTCCTTCTCACTTCCTCCCCTCGCTCGCCACCACTGTTAGAACTCCATAAAGCTCTGTTCCCAAAGGCCACCCTCCCGAGCTGCTGGCACTCCGTTCCGGGCACTCTCCGGGGGCGCGCCGGAGCGGGGTGC